TTATGGCTTACAGCTAATGAAAACTTTTCCATGATATTTGAATTTATTTAGATGCCCCTGTATGTCAGCTTTGGTCTTGCAAGGTTCAGGTTGAAAACAACAATAGGTGCGTTGAGCCATTTTCAACCCACCAAATTCTTCTTTTAAATTTGATAAGAATGTCAATTTTAATACCAGCACTGATGTGTTTCATCACAGTATACTCATGTAATTTAGTTTACAGCATAAAAAACACACTTTAGGGTGGAGTACCTCTTTAATAAAAGCCAGGCTCTACTCTGCGAGCATACAGTATCTCTACATATCAGTGCCAAAATTAGTGTATGAATGTGAAAACTTAATTGGTCGCACCGATGATTGACTCTTCTGACACCTGGTAAAATTAGGTATTTTTTCAAGTTACAACAGCTCGTGAGATATCTTTTCTCGCATCCTTACAGTTAGATTTCCATTCATATCTGTTTAATAAGTTTAACAACTTTATAGTTTTGAACCATGATCTTCAGTATTTTGATCAAGCAGAATGTGAAAATGAAGGTGTCAGATTTAGGAAGCTGCTTATGTTCTTTCAATATGTGACCTATTTAATCAATATTTAGGTAAATATAAGTATCACATAGGACTCTGTGTCAGAGTTACCCAATATTAAAGCATCAGGATCTGGATCTGAACAAAATTTGTGCAAGGCATCCCTAATTTTTAGAGTCTTAAAAGGCTCATGGTCATGAAACTAAAATAGGTAAAGGGGTTAGAAGCCGAGAAACCCACCAACAAAATCAATCTGCTTGTTTGACCAGTTGGTGTACAATTATTGTATATTTGTGATTTAAGTGCTTTATTCTTGGTTCAGTTTATTCTTGGAGATCCTGAATGACTGTTCAGATGTGGATGAAATCAAGTTCCAGGAGGACGGAACATGGTGTCCCATGAGACCAAAGAAAGATGCCGTCAAGGTCCCTTCTCAGTCTATTCCAAAAATTGAGAGTAAGTACATCATCTCAAAGCCTGGACAAGGTGATGAATTGAATTGATCATATTAACTAGCTAACTAACTGGTATTGTGTCTATCAAAGCCCCATTTACCTTTTTCCTCTGTGCCTTAAAAACACATCAATGAGCTACGCTGTTGCACTGGGTGACATGTTGACAAATAGCAGTTAAAGGGGCCATGTACCAAGGCTGAGTCCTTGTTGCTGCGGCTCAGGGTTCGTATCCGACCGGTGGCCCCTTACATGTCATCCCCTTTACCTGAGTTGTTTTAAAAGATTTGTTTTCTGTACGAACTAATGGACTTGTGGCTGAGAACCACAGACAGTGACAAAGTCAGAATGTGCTTTGGGGTTTTCATGGCATTTGTTTACAATAAGACAAATCTAGAATAACACAAGCCCTATACTATAACCTTTTCTTTCAGCCTCCACTCCATTGCGGCAGTCTTCAGTGGTCCTCCATTCTACTGAGCCCAGCTCCACCAAGAAGGCTGATGTGATTGATCTGACTCTGGAAAGCTCCTCCTCCTCCTCTTCCTCTTCTGATGAAGAGGACACAGACCCTCCACTGAAGAAACGCTGTGTTTACATTTCCAAGAATGAGGAAATGCATGCAAAGGGGTGAGCAAGCCCCTCTGTGTGGTTTTCCTGAATCATAGACAGACCTACGTGTACCAGCTTTGTTACCAAATAATAATTTCAAAACACCATTAGTTTGTAATTTTATCTTGTATTGTATTGTATTTGGTGACAATAATTTGGTTTAATATCAACAATTAAGGCTGTTGCCATTTCAGATTTTCCCTACACGATTATTGTGGTTAAAATAATTCACAATAGCAACATTATCGTAATATAAAAATGAACACAGGCAACCAGTATTACGGTCTGGGAGGGTGAACCACAAAGGGGGAATGAAAGAAATGGAAATGTTTTAAGAGGCACTATCCATATTTAATTTTAAGAATGAACTGATGGCAAAGGCTCATCAGAATAGAAACTTGAAAAAACTTCGCAAACATACTTTGGCCTTTTTATAGAATATAGAGCCTATAAGGGTTGGGCGATACATTAAAATTCCCACCGGCCACCATCAGTCCAACAATTGGCATTTGCTGATATATTCGTGAGTGCGTGCATGTGAGGTGAGCAGCAGGTTCATTATGTGCAACAGGTTGTAATAGATTCAATAAACAAAATAAACTCAAATTTTAACAAAGGAATCAGGCAGAAAAATACAACCGTACACCTTCTGAATTCAATCTTAATTCAATCTAATACTGAACTAAGACCTTGTTAAGCAATCTTAAAACTAGGCCTGCGTGATGTGGTTGTGCGATGACACTGTTCAGTATTGCAATCATGATGACTTAAACAAATATTGAGTCTTGTACATTTCCTATGTCCGCCTGGTTGTAAAATCAGTACTGGATAAGTTGTCGTAAACTAGACACAGACAGACAGACAGACAGGATGAATGAATGAATGAATGGATCAATTGATGAAGGATGAATGAGTGAGAGAATGAATGGAGCAGCCTGTGAGAGAAGGTGCTCCGCTGTCTGACCACTGTGTG